ATTTCAGGGCTGGCCCAGTGGTGCAGTGGTTAAATTTGCACATTCTGCTTTGGTGGCCTGGGCTTTGCTGGTTTGAATCCCTGGTGTGGGATCTATACACCACTTGTCAAGCCAAGCTGTGGCAGGTTCCCATATATAAAGTGGCAGGAGATGGGCAGGAATGTTAGCTCAGGGCTAGTCTTCCTCAGCAAAAAGAGGAGGATTTGCAGTATATGTTAGCTCAGGGCTAATCTTTCTCCAAAAAAAAAAAAAAAAAAAAAAAAGACTAGATTTCTTTTATCCATTTTGAAGTATTGAATAGACTGATCTTAACCCATAATAGAATCCTTTTCCTTGTTAATTCCATCTGGCACTCTGCAAATGAGGACAACAGCTGAAAATGTGAAAATTCCAAATGCCACAGCTTACCTCTATTAAAGCTTCCTTTCAAAACTTTGACCTTTGAACGTTGCATGTGTGCAGACACTGGCTATAATCGCATGAAACACCTTAGTCTCCTCACATGTTGTTTGGTCCTCAGCTATTCTTGTACATATTCTAACACTTTCACAGCCAACCCAGTGGGTGTTGGGGTTTGAGAGTGTAAGTGAAACAAAAGTTTATCTCCACCCATCTTAGGTTTCCAGCTGAGGGTCTTTATCAAAAAGACAGATTAACAAGAGAAAAACAGTTTACTAACATGTGCAGCACACATCATAAGGAAGAAACTTCAAGGAGAGTAACTCAAAGCCGTGGCGTAGAACTCTCACTTATATAGCACCTTCAACAGAAAGCAATACATGTGTGGAGAAATAACAGGACCAAGAAAAAGCAGTTTCAGGCTTCCAAAGGCAGCAAACCGCAGGAAGGTAAATGTATGGGAGGAAACTAATGGGGTGAGGTTTGTTTGCAGAATCCTCTGCTGCCCTCTCTGGGCTGATAAGATTCTGTCTCCACTAAAAGAAGAATTTAGATCTTGCCTATAAGCAGAAAAAAGGGAGCGTGGAGACAGCTTTTCCTGCATTTTCTGCCTCTTGACTGCCTTCAGCTCAAAACAATTTTTATATCAAAGAGGCATATTTGGGGGTGACATGTTCTGGTTTCCTTCAGAGCAACCAGGCCTGCCTTGTTTCCCTTAAAGACAGTCAAAGGGAGATAGGCCTGTGAAAAGAAAGAGCACCCCAGCAAGAACAAGCAAAGGCTATTTATTCGGAGGGAGGGGGTTAGCAATGCCGACTGGGGGCTGTTGATGCAGGGAAGCTGGGGGCAGACGAACTGGAAGTGGGGCTTCCTCTTTGATTGGTTAGGGGAGCACGTTTAGCTTTCTCCACTTGGTCCTAAGTTGGAGTCAGGGGCACGAATTAGGGAAGCTGTCAGTTATTGATTAATTCCGAGCTGCTAAGGCCAAGTGCTACAGAGGTTGTGGTTTGGCTTCCTGGACAGGTTGCTGATATGGTTTATGGTTTGACTGCCTGGGCTGGTTGTTGCACGTTGTGAGTCAGAGTTCTGTTTTTATACGTGTTCTGGTCACTGTCCGTTTGTCTATTCAGTCTCTCAATCTTATGTGTATTTATGACCTTCAATGATATATTCTGTGCAATTATAAAACATGGACCAATGGAGATTGGACACTTGCCTCTTGTCTGCCAAAAACCACTCATCTATTCAATGGGAAGAAAATGTAATCTTTCCTTTTTTTCAGAGACAAAGGACTTTATTACTCAAAGCACAGCAAGTAGTATAAGTTTCGTGTTTTGTGTTGTTCCTCTTGCCCCACAGGTCCCATGGGGGTGATGTGAAGCAGCACAGGTAGATGCCGAGCACACAGTGGGTCTGCATCACAGCTGAGGAGCCCCAAGCTTAGAGAACTTAAATCTTTTATAAAAAACTACAAGCAAATCTGCCCAGCCTTTGCCCTGGAAGGAGACATTATTATACTAGACAGTAAACAAACTTGCTCTCTGCTCTGGAGGAGACACTATCTCTGTCTACCAAGACTGTTCAATATACAAACATCTTTGAAAAGATAGTCCAGGGGGCCGGCCCAATGGTGCAGTGGTTAAGTTCTCACATTCCGCTTCAGCGGCTCAGGGTTCAGTGGGTCGGATCCCGGGTGCAGACCTACGCACCACTCGGCAAGCCATGCTGTGGCAGGCGGCCCACATATAAAGTAGAGGAAGATGGACATGGATGTTAGCTCAGGGCCAGTCTTCCTCAAAAAAAAAAAAAGAAAGAAAGAAAAAACAAGATAAATCAAATAAGAGGCAAAATTGGCGTAAAGTGAAAATAAAGGTAGGGAAGACAAAGCAAAACCAGGAATAAGTTTAGCACACACATTGTGGTCTTAATCTCACACCCTATTACTCCAGGGGTCTCTGGATTGGGTTCTGAGTTGGCCAGGACAAAAAGGGAAGTTACAGCATCACAGGATCCAAAACATAAACACAGGCAGTTATTCAGAAGAAAAGTTGGCCGTTTCTGTACTCAGATAGGAGATAGAGTTCTTCCCCTGCTCCTCTTTGAGAGCACACCCTGTAGTGTAGTGAAAGCTTCCTCAACAACATCCCTTCCCCAAACACAGCAATATGCCTGTGACGCTCTCCCACAGTCTCCCTTCCTGCAGGATACACATATCCCACACCTCAATTCAACTAGGGAAATTCGAGGGGGACAAAAAACCCCACGGCTGCTCAGAGGTTGCTCAGAAAGCTTGAAAGAGGTCAGATTTGGTGACCAAGGCCTCACCTGCTGACCTGCCTTGCTGAGACCTGCTCTGACCTCATTCCTGGGAACTCGCGCCTGTGATGGAGGTCCCTCAGCGGCCCTAGTCTAATCACTAGGCCTCCATCCTGCAGCCTTGGCCCCAGTCCCTTCTGGCTTCCCCTCCCACAACAGTGGCAGACATCACTAATCCAAAATGCAGTCTTTTTTGTTTGTTTGTTTGTTTTTAATCAATGCTTCTCTGAAAGGTGACAGTGCTAGTAGAAGAAGACAGTGTTAACAGGATGAGTCAGGAATGTGGAGAGGGGAGTTCAAGCCACTATTAACTCTTGCCTGGAGCCTTGTATACTTTCTTAACCGATTTCTCTGCTTCGACTCTTCCTCCTCCCTCAAACCATTCCAACACAATGCCAGAAGAATCTCTAAAACTGTAAGTCAGATCTTGTTATTCCACTGCTTTAAACCCTTCAGCCCTACTCTTTTTTCTTTTTTTAAGGATTGGCACCTGGGCTAACAACTGTTGCCAATCTTTTTTTTTTTTTCTTTTTCTGCTTTATTTCCCAACCACCCACCCCCCCGCCCCCGACACAGTTGTATGTCTTGGTTGCAGGTCCTTCTAGTTGTGGTATTTGGGACGCCGCCTCTACGTGGCCTGACAAGCAGTGCCATGTCCGCACCCAGGATCCGAAGCCTGAGCCGACCACAGCAGAACGCGCGAACTTAACCACTGGGCCACGGAGCCGGCCCCCCTGCTTGATGAGGTCTGGACCCACCTATCCAGTCTTCTCCCTGTTTTTCACAGCTACCTCTCTCCCTCTTATTAATTATGCTCCTGCCCCTACTCTCTTTCCTGCCTCAAGGGTTTGTGTTTACTATTCCTCGTAAACTCTTCCAGGGGCTGGCCCCTTCCAAGTGGTTAAATTCGCGAGCTCTGCTTCGGCAGCCCGGGGTTTCTCCAGTTCAGATCCTGGGTACAGACATGGCACCGCTCATCAAACCATGCTGTGGTAGGCATCCCACATGCCACAACTAGAAGGACCCACAACTAAAAATACACAACTATGTACCAGGGGGCTTTAGGGAGAAAAAGGAAAAATAAAATCTTAAAATAAACCCAAAACCCAAAAAAATAACTATCCATACATGTCAAATTATACCAAAATATTTGTTTGAGTATAGTATGTGCCAAAATATATAAATAAATATTTTGGTATAATAAATTAAAATATAAATTTTTTTTTCTGCTTTTTCTCCCCAAATCCCCCCAGTACATAGTTATATCTTTTAGTTGTGAGTGCCTCTAGTTGTGGCATGTGGGATACCACCTCAGCTTGGCCTGACGAGCGGTGCCATGTCTGCGCCCAGGATACCAACCAGGGAAACCCTGGGCCGCCGAAGTGGAGCATGCAAATTTAACCACTTGGCCACGGGACTGGCCCTAAAATATGAATATTTATTTTGAGATAATATGTACCAAAATATAAATGAAAATATTTTGACATGGTCTACATATTCACAATATGTTAGAGGGAATACATTGATTTCTGTAGTGCTATGACAGCAGCAAAATTGGTGCTTCTAAAGAGGAGAGAATTGATTTTTTCAGGATTTATTGCTCTTAAGTACCTTGCACATATTACATCATCTCAATCTCTCAAAATTCTGAGAAACATCCCTATTTACAAATGAAAAAAATAAATTTAAGTCTCAGAGTGGTTATATAACTCTCAAAATTACAGTGCAGAAAATGAGGTCCACACTATTCTAGGCTCATACTTTGTGACTGGATACTAAATTCTGAAGGATATTTACATTTATATTTAATAAGAACCTTTAAACTATAATAGAAAATTGTCAAGATTATTTTCACCAATGATGTAGAGATGGGCCATGTTTAACCCCCAATAAATGATGAGTACCGGGAGTCAAAGTATTTGTGTGTAAAATAACTTTACGGGCTTAAAGCAGGGAGTGGAAAACTAAGGCCCACGGGCCAAATTCAACCAGCTGTCTGCTTTTGTAAATAAAATTGTGTTAGAACACATGCCCATTCATTTCCATATTGTCTGTGTTCGCTTTCACGATGCAATAATGGAGTTGGGTGGTGGCAACACAGACTATATGGCTTGCAAACCCTAAGATATTTACCATTTGGCCTTTTACAAGAAAATTTTGCTCGTTCCCTTTTAGAGTGAAATGATTTAGGGATTAGTAAATATACCAGTAAATGAATTCAGCTTTGGAAAATCAGTGGGTAGCCCTGATAAATCTAACTGAAATGGTGAGCCTCATAACTTTATATGAAAGGTCAATTTTTTTCTTCTTCTTCTATATTCATTCTGAAAGACTGGAGCTGTTGCCCAGCCCTCTAGAGTTCATTTGAGTCCAGCTGCTACTATGTTTCTACTGTGAAGCAATCTTAGGCTGAGAGTCAGAAGAATTGCTCTCCCAAGGGAGCGCGTCTGATGGTGATCACCACTAGGGATGAGCAGGTACTTTTTTTTTTAACTTTTTTTTTTTGAGGAAGATTAGCCCTGAGCTAACATCTGCTGCCAATCCTCCTCTTTTTGCTGAGAAGACTGACCCTGAGCTAACATCCATGCCCATCTTCCTCTACTTTATATGTGGGATGCCTGCCACAGCATGGCTTGACAAGCAGTACCAGGTCCACACCTGGAATCCAAACCGGCTAACCCGAAGCCGCCGAAGTGGAACGTGCAAACAACCACTGCGCCACCAGGCCTGCCCGAGCAGGTACTTTTTTGATAGGCAAGGTGGTCAGCAAGACTTCATTCCTCTTTTAGCTTAGAAGATTTGTTATGGCCCTGAAATTTGGAGACAGAGGAAAGATTTCTGGTAAAAAATAAAAACAGAAAAAGAAGAAGAAAGAAAGAAGGAAGGAAGGAAGAAAGATCTTCCTAATCTGGCACATTCAAGAGCTATTTTAAGAAAACAAACTCTGGAACAAAATTCAGGAAAACAAAATAGTGGATTTTTTCTCCCTGAAGCCCCAGTGCATGTTGTGCATCCTAGTTGTAAGTCTTTCTAGTTCTTCTGCGTGGATGCCGCCAGAGCACGGCGTGATGCATGGTGTGTACATCTGTGCCCAGGATCCGAACTGGTGAACCCCAGGCCGCCAAAGCAGAGCATGCAAGCTTAATCACTATGCCCCTGGGCCAGCCCCCAAAATAGTGAATTTGAGAGGTGAATAGAAAATGAGAATACTTGTTATCTAAGAAAGTCACACTAATTAAATATATTAGTATTTTATAATGCATCCTCTGCATGTCTTACCTTCTTTTCATTATTTTCTCTTTTTACCTCTCTGTATTTGATTTTGAATAGTTTCCTCTGTCCTTTCAGTTCACAAATCCTTTCTTCAGTTGTCTCTATTCTGTTATTAAGCCCATACATTGGGTTCTAATTTCAGTTATTGCATTTTTTTTTTTTTAGGAAGATTAGCCCTGAGCTAACTGCTGCCAATCCTCCTCTTTTTTCTGAGGAAGACCGGCCCTGAGCTAACATCCGTGCCCATCTTCCTCTACTTTATGTGTGGGGCGCCTACCACAGGATGGCGTGCCCAGTGGTGCCATGTCCGCACCTGGGATCTGAACTGGCGAACCCTGGGCTCCCAAGAAGCGGAAAGTGTGCATTTAACCGCTGCGCCACAGGGCCGGCCCCTCAGTTATTGTATTTTTGAAATCCAGAATTTCTTTTTGTTTCTCCTCCAAATATGCTATGTCAAATTTTATAATATTAAATTCTATGCTCAAGTTTGTCTTTTATCTCCTCAAACATAAGAAGCATAGTTGTTTCATACTCTGTTTCTAATGATACCCATGCGCATAATTATCTTTTATTTTGTGCTGGACATTATATTTGAAAAATTATTTATAAAAACGATTGCAGGACTAAGGAATTGTTTTCTTCCGGAAAATAATATTTTCATTTGCTTCTGCCACATGCCTTGGCACAAGATGTCTTATATTATATTAATGTAGTTTCAGGGTTTGAAATGTCTATACCATTCAGATGATTCAAAACCAGATTGCAATTTATATGAGGTCTGATTTACCACCTATTCAAACGAACTCATTTCTGGGTCCTGGACTCCAACTTTGTCTCCCAACCCCCACCCTAAAACGCTGTCAAAAGTGCTATTCATTCTGTCTCTCCCACTACCTTGTAAACATAAATGTTTTCTTTCACTTTCTTATACCACACCCAGTACAGAGTTTTAAGCACTCTATAGACTGCATGAACATGTAGTGAATAAATGAACAAAAGAATGAATATCATAAAAAAGCAGGTAAGCACACACAAGCCACCAATGTCTCATATAGGTTCCTGTGCATTCAAAATCATCGAAAAGCTAAGTCAAAAATATCTGTTGTTGTTGGTATAACATTGCTTGACTTTCTCAAACTCAATTCTAGATCTCTACCTTTCTTGTAACACAATATAATACACTAGTTAAGAGTACTGGCCATAGAGTGAGTTAGATCTCTGTCATTTATGAGTTCTGTGACCTTTGACAACTTTCTTATCTTCCTAAGTTTCAGTTTCCTCATTTGTAAATTGGGAACACCAACAGTAGCTTCTTCACAGAAACGTTGTAAGATCTAAGTAAAAGAACTTACGTAAGCTCATGGCACAATACTTGGCACAGAGTAGACACCCAATAAATAATTGCAACTATGACTATTATTATTATAAACATCTTACTTTTAAAATGACTTGTAATGTATGGTGACCGATAAAAATTAGATTACTGGTGGTGAGCACGATTCAGTCTATACAGAAACTGATAAACAATAACGTATACTGAAATTACACATTGTTATGAACCATTATGACCTCAATAAAATAACTGAAAAATTAAAAAAATATAATAAATAAAATAAAAATGACTTCTAACCATTAACATTTGGACAGTGCCATACAAAATTTTAAAACAAATTTAAACTCTAGCATCCCGGAGAAAAAAATGCTGTTCCACCCCTCCACTGCCCCTTCTGGATCAGCAAAATTTCCCTGCAGCAAAGGTCGCCATAAATTCCAAACACATCTCTCTGGATTTTCATTTCATCAGCATCTTGGACTGGTAATTTTTCACAATTTCGTGAGCTCTTTGAGACCAAGTTTTTCTTATTTTATTCAGTTTATGTATGAATGTAAGTATTTAGTCCATCATTATTGAAAATAGAAGTCTCACTACATTAAGCTCTGATACCAGCATTGATATCAATCATTTATATAAAATGCATTTATAGAAAAATACTTAGAAACAATTTATCTCTCAGAGAAGGGATATTATGAGGACATGAGAAAAAAAATTAATTAAATTGCAAGGACCCAGAATTAAGAATTGAGAAGTATAAAAATATAAAGCATCACTTAAATTTCCCAAATAATTGATTTTACAAAAATCGATTATACAATGGGGCCAGCCGGGTGGGGTATTGGTTAAGTTCATGAACTTTGCTTCAGTGGCCTGGGTTTCACAGGTTCAGATTCTGGGCACAGACCTACACACGATCCATCTAGTCTTGCTGTGGCAGCATCCCATATATAAAACAGAGGAAGATTGGCACAGATATTAGCTCAGGGACAATCTTCCTCGAGCAAAAAGAGGAGGATTGGCAACAGATGTTAGCTCAGGGCCAATCTTCCTCACATACACACAAAAAATTTAAAAATTGGTTATACAATGTTGGGGCTTCTGAAAGGATCCTAATTATCATCTTCCCTGCCAAACCTATGAATGGAGAAATTAAAGAGGATAAGACAGAAAGAACAAAAAAAAAATCACCTGATAAAGGCCAAATTGAAGGATGTAAATTAGAGTGACTTCAGAAGCAGACTGTCTTACCCACTGAGATTGGCTCACACTAAGGACAAGGATGATCCATGGAAAAGCAAATGAGGTCTCTCATTCTTTGTGAGCAGGCTTCTCCTCAAGAAGAAGGCAGGCTGAGCCGTGCTATGAATGCTCAGTTAGGATTCCCAAATGCACCAAGCATACCCAGTTATTTTTACTTAATTTCCCAGTCAAATGAAACACTTCTCCTCTCTTGGCCATGAATAAAAGGCAGAGAGAAACAGAAACGTTAACCTAAGTCCCTTCACAGGAAGAGTATATTAAGAGTGCGGGGGCGGGGGTGGGCGGCCCGGGGCCGAGTGGTTAAGTTTGTGCGCCCTGCTTCTGCCCCCAGGGTTTTGCCGGTTCGGATCCTGCGTAGGGACACGGTACTGCTCATCAAGCCACGCTGAGGCAGCATCCTACATGCCACAACTAGAAGGACCCACAACTAAAAATACACAAATATGTACCGGGGTGCTTTGGCAGAAAAAGGAAAAATAAAATCTTTAAAAGAGTGAGGGGGAAAAGTTCCCCATTAACATGCAGAACCTTGAAGAATCTGGTCATTTGGCAAAGAAATAGGGAAAGTGAGTCTGACATGAGAATTCATTACGATCATGGATAGAAGTCACTCCTGTCCTGATCAGCCGGAGCAGGAAGACCTGCGCTCCTGGGCAGCGCCCCCATGTGGTTGTTTCTGGGTCCTCCTTTTCCTCTCTTCTCCCTCAGGCCATAAAGAGCTCAATTCAGCCTGAATCTCTAAAGGCTACGACTCCTTTCTTTTCTTCCCTCAGGATTTCATTATCCAGAACCTGTACGGCAATTTTGCTTATTTTATAGGGCTGTCGGCCCAGAGGGGAAAACGCATTGGCAATGGGTTGATCAGACACCATACAATGAAAGTGTCATGTGAGTACAGGGTTAGATAAAGGAGTCCTCAGTCCTGGGTCAGGCAGGGTGTCCAGCCCTCAGCTATTAAACGAACCAAAATACCCCACAACACTTTTTATCTTAATTTGACACCAAAGTCTGTGTTTTTATCTACATTTATGTCTCTAAATAAAGTGAAACAAAATATGTCAATTAAGACTATAATCAATTAATAAAATTTAATACTTTTCATAAAGCAAACATGCTAAATTCTAAGAATCTTGTAATAACTCTTATTTATGTAATTCTTTCAAAACTTTAAAGTACTTTAGTATACATTACCACCTTTGACTTGCATATTAACTATGTGAAAAATTTAGGGAAATTACTCTGGTCCCCATTTTTAAGGCAGGAAAACTGAGAATCAAGGAAATTAAATTACTTAAGTTACTTGCCCAAAATAACAGGGGATAAGTAGTAGATCTAGAGATTCTTGTTTTTCCCCAAGGAAGATTTGCCCTGAGCTAACATCTGCTGCCAAACTTCCTGGCCACTGATGAATAGTGTAGGTCCATGCCCGGGAACCAAACCTGGGCCACCGAAGTGGAGCATGCCAAACTGAATCACTAGGCTACTGGGACTGGCCCAGATCTAGAGATTTTAACTACCTTTTCAGACTCCAAAAGGAGTGCACTAAAAAAAAGAAGTGGGGCCTGCCCAATGGCATTGTGGTTAAGTCCTCATGCTCTGCTTTGGCAGCCCAGGGTTCACCAGTTAGGATCCCAAGCATGGACCTATGTACTGCTTATCAAGCAAGGCTGTGGCAGGTGTCCCACACGTAAAAAATAGAGGAAGATGGCCACAGACGTTAGCTCAGGGCCAATCTTTCTCAGCAAAAAGAGGAGGATTGTTGGCTGATGTTAGCTCAGGGCTAATCTTCCTCAGGAAAAAAATGTAACAAACTGTATTAATAGTTGAGACCAGGGAGAAATCTTTTGTTTATTTAAGAAAACCCTTTGGTATTGGAAGTTCAATGGGAATAGGACACAAGGATGGACAAATAGAAGGAAGCTCCTGGATATCTGTTGGGAGAATGTTTAATGTGTCCTGAATTGCATAAGATGACAAGAGTCCTGGCTGATGTTAGCATAGTTTTCATGGGAAACGCCAGACGTGCAGGTGGAGGAGAAACTGCCCAGACAGGAAGGTTTCTGTAATATGGCAGCAGAAGAGGGGAAGGAATCACTTGGGTACCTCTGACCTTGACTCCCACGCTCTTCAACTCTACCGCCTCACAGTCTCCAACCCTTTTCAAAACACGCTCATCTTTTTTCTCTCTTGCAGGTTTTGGCACTCAGGTGAACGCACTAATCCTGATGAGTGTTGTGTTATGCTAAATTCTGCATCAGAAAAGTGGGGCCGGAATAATGCTCCCTGTAATGAACATCACAGGTCAACTTGCAAGATGGTGACCTACTTATGAACGGAACATCCTCCACGGAAATGTGTTTGGATTGGCATCTACCATTATAGACATAGCTAATTCGCTGTTTTAATTATGTGTAAGTCTTGTATAAGAGATGCCCATAGAATTTTTCATTTGACTGTCACCTATTCCACTTATGATAGAATCAGTTCACATATTCATTCATAAAGTGAACACTTATTGAGCATTTTCCATGTGCCAGGAATGTACTGGAGAGCACTTTTTTTTTTTTAATTGAGGTTATCATAGTTTACAACATTGTGAAATTTCAGTTGTACATTATTATTTGTCAGTCATCTTATGGGTGTGCCCCTTCACCCTTTGTGCCCACTCCCCACCCCCCTTCCCCCTGGTAACCACTAATCTGTTCTCTTTGTTCATGTGTTTGTTTATCTTCCACATATGAGTGGAATCATACGGAGTTTTTCTTTCTCTATCTGGCTTATTTCACTTAACATAATACCCTCAAGGTCCATCCATGATGTGAACGGGATGATGTTGTCATTTTCTATGGCTGAGTAGTATTCCATTGTGTATATATATATATATATATATATATACCATATCTTCTTTATCCAGTCATCAGTTGATGGACACTTAGGTTGCTTCCACATCTTTGTTATTTTGAGTAGTGCTGCAATGAACACAGGGGTGCAGGGGTCTTTGAATTGTTGATTTCAAGTTCTTTGGATAGATACTCAGTAGTGGGATGGCCAGGTCACATGGTATTTCTATTTTTAATTTTTTGAGAAATCTCTTTTCCATAGTGGCTGCACCAGTTTGCATTCCCACCAGCAGTGTATGAGGGTTCCTTTTTCTTCACAACCTCTCCAACATTTGTTATTTTTTGTCTTGGTTACTGTAGCCATTCTAACAGATGTAAAGTGACATCTTAGTGTAGTTTTGATTTGCATTTCCCTGATAATCAGTGATATTGAGCATCTTTTCATGTGTCTATTGGCCATTTGTATATCTTCTTTGGAGAAATGTCTGTTCATATCCCCTGCCCATTTTTTGATCGGGTTGTTTGATTCTTTGTTGTTGAGTTGTATGAGTTCTTTATATATTATGGAGATTAACCCTTTGTCAGCTACATGATTTGCAAATATTTTTTCCAAGTTGGTGGGTTGTCTTTTCATTTCAATCCTGTTTTCCTTTACCTTGAAGAAGCTCTTTAGTCTGATGAAGTCCCACTTGTTTATTCTTTCTATTGTTTCCCTTGTCCAAGAAGACATGGTGTCCAAAAAGATCCTTTTAAGACTGATGTCAAAGAGTGTACTGCCTATATTTTCTTCTAGAAGTCTTATCGTTTCAGGTCTTACCTTGAAGTGTTTGATCCATTTTGAGTTTATTTTTGTGTATGGCACAAGAGAATGGTCTACTTTCATTCTTTTACATGTGGCTGTCCAGTTTTCCCAACACCACTTATTGAAGAGACTTTCTTTTCTCCGTTGTATGTTCTCAGCTCCCTAGTCAAAGATGAGCTGTCTGTAGATGTGTGGTTTTATTTCTGGGCTTTCAATTCTGTTCCATTGATCTGTGTGCCTGTTTTTGCACCAGTACCATGCTGTTTTGATTGTAATAGCTTTGTAGTATATTTTGAAGTCAGGGATTGTGATGCCTCCAGTTTTGTTCTTTTTCCTCAGGGTTGCTTTAACAATTTGGGGTCTTTTCTTGCCCCATATGAATTCTAGGATTCTTTGTTCTGTTTCTGTGAAGAATGTCATTGAGACTCTGATTGGGATTCCATTGAATCTGTAGATTGCTTTAGGTAGAAGGGACATTTTAACTATGTTTATTCTTCTAATCTATGTGCATGGGATGGCTTTCCATCTCTTTATGTTGTCATCAGTTTCTTTCAGGAAAGTCTTATAGTTTTCGTTGTATAGGTCTTTCACTTCCTTGATTAAATTTATTCCTAGATATTTTATTCTTTTTGTTGCGATTGTGAATGGGATTGTGTTCTTGAGTTCTCTTTCTGTTAGTTCATTATTAGAGTACAGAAATGCAACTGATTTATGTAAGTTGATTTTGTACCCTGCAATTTTGCTATAATTTTTTATTATTTCTAGTAGCTTTCCAATGGAATTTTTAGAGTTTTCTCTATATAAAATCATGTCATCTGCAAAGAGCAAGAGTTTCACTTCTTTGCCTATTTGGATTCCTTTTATTTCTTTTATTGCCTAATTGCTCTGGCCAAAAGCTCCAGTACTATGTTGAATAAGAGCGGTGAGAGTGGGAACCCTTGTCTTATTCCTGTTCTCAGAGGGATGGCGTTCAGTTTTTCCCTGTTGATTATGATGTTGGCTATGGGTTTGTCATATATGGCCTTTATTATGTTGAGGTACTTTCCTTCTATACCCATTTTATTGAGTGTTTTTATCATAAATGGACGTTGGATCTTGTCAAATGCTTTCTCTGCATCTATTGAGATGATCATGTGGTTTTTGTTCCTCATATTGTTACTGTGGTGGATCACATTGATTGACTTGTGGGTGTTGAACCATCCTTGTGTCCCAGGTATAAATCTCACTTGATCATGGTGTATGATCTTTTTAATGTATTGCTGTATTCAGTTTGCCAATATATTTTTGAGGATGTTTGCACCTATGTTCATCAGTGATATTGGCCTGTAATTTTCCTTCTTTTTGTTATCCTTGTCTGGCTTTGGTATCAGGGTGATGTTGGCCTTGTAGAATGTGTTAGGAAGTGTGGGGAGCCCTTTTGCAGACAAATAGAGAGGGCACGAGCTTCCTCTCTTAATTTTTGTCTCTTAAATTTTGCTAAGGAGTTAGGTAGCTGTTATGGACTGAAGTGTGTCCCCCCAAATTCATATGTTGAAGTTCTAACCCCCAGGATCCCAGAATGTGACTGTATTTGGAGATTAGGCCTTTAAAGTGGTGACTAAATTAAAACGAGTTCTTTAGAATGTGGACCTAATCTAATTTGACTAGTATCCTTATAAGAAGAGGGAATTTGGATACACAAAGAGGGCATGTGCACAGAAGGGCAACCACGTGAAGGGGCAACAGGCAGGTGGCCATTCACAAGCCAAGGAGAGAGGCCTCAGAAGAAACCAACCCGCTGACAACTTGATCTTGGGCTTCCAGCCTCCAGAATTGGGAGAAAATAAATAGTTGTTGTTTAAGCTATCAGTCTGTGGTATTTTGTCATGGCAGTCCCAGCAAACTAATACAGCACTCATATCAGCATTTAATGCTGTTCCTCCCTGTGTTTGATCAGAAGTATTTTCCATTTTTCTGGGATTCACTACTTGTAACTGAATGCATACCATGTAGCAGCAAGAACACAATACACGTCCACAGAAGGTAATTAATGTTCCAGCTTTGGCCCAGTAAATTACTTGGGCTTCTTAACAGTCTTTGTTCAGTCTTGGGCTAACATCTCAATTACAGGTGCAGAGAAAGAGGAATTAGAGATTGTTATTTTCCTGGTGGGTTGGCATAAAAAATTATATTCCTTGACCTCAGATATCTCATAATTTCATGAAACATATAGTTTCTGTGTATGGACTGTCACCAAAATGGCCTCTGATTTGTTCTTATTCCTCTTTTACCAAAGTTCCTACAGATCCCCTTATTTCTATTACAATAAAAAACGTATTATATTTCTATGACAGCATATAGTTCATTGCTCTAGTATGGTAATCACAGCTGATTATGATAAATCTTTGTTCACGCAGATCTTCCCAATGCGACCTCCTGAGGTGATGCCCAGATCACCTTGGTGCTCCTGAGTCATTTCATTTCTTCAGCCACTCATTTCGTGACTATACTTGAGGATGGGTTAGTTTTACAGGTCTGATCTTAACCATCGTTTGTAGAATTTACCAGTTTAATTCTCAGAGAGCAATGTACATAATACTTCTCATTTGGCCTTCTATATGAATAGTTTTAAGACTTACTTGCACATTATAATCACAATCTTGGGGAGCTGTTAAAAATTACCCCTTCCCAGGCATCTGTAAGTTTTCAAATTTCTCAGGATTGAGAACCTCTGATCTATATTTATTCCTGTGCAATATCATTTTATGCATAAACTCAGAACTGTGGGGTGGGAAACTCCAGAACAGATGTGAAATAACTGCATTAGTTTTCTGTTGCTGCTGTAACAAATTACCACAGATTTAGTGGCTTAAAGTAATGTGAACTTATTTTCTTGCAGTTCCAGAGGTCAGGAGTCCAAAATCAGTCTTAGTACGCTAAAGTCAAGGAGTCAGCAGGGCTGGTTCCTTCTGCAGTCTCCAAGGGGAGAATTCATTTTGTTGGTTTTTCCATTTCTAGTGGCCGCCTGTATTCCTTGGCTTGTGGCCCTGTCCTCCACCTTCAAAGTTTGTCACTCCAATCTCTGCTTCTGTCATCACATTGCCTTCTCTAAGTCTGGCTACTCTTGTGTCCTCATAAGGGCCATTGTGATTACATCAGGCCTCCCTGGGCAATCCAGGACAATCGCCTCATCTCAAGATCCTTAATTAATCACATCTGCAAAGACTCGTATGCCATATAAGGTAACATTCACAGGCTCTAGAGACTAGGATGTGGGCATATTTACGAGGCCTTATTCAGTCTATCACAATAACTTGACAGAAAATATAAAGAGTAGAGGGGCCAGCCTGGTGGCGCAGTGGTTAAGTGTGCACATTCCACTTCAGTGGTCCGGGGTTCACCGGTTCCCGGGTGCGGGCATGGCACTGCTTGGCACGCCATGCTGTTGTAGGCGTCCCACATATAAAGTAGAGGAAGATGGACACGGACGTTAGCTCAGGACCAGTCTTCCTCAGCAAAAAGAGGAGGATTGGCAGCAGTTAGCTCAGGGCTAATCTTCCTCAAAAAAAAAAAAAAAAAAAGGAAAATATAAAGAGTAGAAAGTTTCATCAGACTTGCACTGAACTCCATTTCATTTATTTCAAGATGTCTAACAGAATGCAATGCTGAATCATGTATACCAAGGTCACATACATAAACCTTGTTTAAGGAGTCTCAACTACTGAGATATAAATGTGTAATGGCTTTTTTTGTTCCAATAGCTGCTATCACTGGGATCTATGAAACTCTCTTTCTTATAGGGTAACGGGGGCTTCATTAATGAAATGTTAGTACAGTTCCACGATATTTGAGTCTCCTTCAGTTATAAAAACACTTTGATCTCAGTTATTAAAAGTTAAAAATATAATAGTTTATATATAACTAAAGGAAAATAAGGGGGTGGGGGAATTGGATGAAAGTGGTCAAAAGGTAGAAACTTACAGTTATAAGATAAATAAGCACTGGGGATGTAATGTACAACATGATGACTACAGTTAACACTGCTGTATGGTATATTTGAAAGTTGCTAAGAGAGTAGATCCTAAAAGTTCTCATCACAAGGAAAAAAATATTTTTTAACTTTTTTTGGTATCTATGAGATGATGGATGTTAACTAAACTAATTGTGGTAATCATTTTGCAATATATGTGAGTCAAGTCATTATGCCGTACACCTTGAACTTATACAGCGCTGTCTGCAAATTATATCTCAATGAAGCTGAAAGAAAAAAATAACTAAAGGAAAATAATGTGTTTTAATTGAGGTAACGTTGGTTTATAACATTATATAAATTTCCAGTGTATGTCATATTTCGACTTCTATATAGAAGTCATGTTCACTACCAATAGTCTAGTTGCTATCTGACACTGTACACATGTGCCCTAAAGGAAAATAATTCATAATAAAATATATATTCAGCACATAAATTGTTCATTTTAAACTTTGAATTCGATTCAAAGCTCTTCCATTCTGGTGAAAGTCAAGGGCGGTTTGGATTCCCAGCTTCCTCTCTGTGGCAATGATCTAAAAACTCGGCCATTTCACAAGGTTGAATTTACTGGACTTTAGGGAGCTCAGTGGGAGCCTCCTCCCTGCCCAGTCCTTTCTGCCGTGTCACAGGGATTGAGCTGAGCTCAGATTTTACTTACTCACCCTCGCAACCATTTTCTCTTGAGGACTTCTCGCCCAGTTCCTTTTGGGGGGACAGCCATGGGTAGGTACCGGCAAGATGGCTTGGGGTCCAGGCACTTTCTAAACTTTACTTGCTTGGCCAAATGTTGGGGACGCAAGGTGGCTCCAGACACTCTGCCTACCATTATCCTGCACCCCCATCTCACTCCTTTCTCACTAATCAGTAGGATCAGGCAGGGGCCATCAGGCTCTCCACTGGTTCAGTGGCCCAGCAGTTAGACTAGAGATGACTTCAGCTCCCCGTTTGAGGGCACAGAAGACACTTTGGTCACACCTGATGCTACTATAGGGAGGAGGAAGTCACATTAAATGCCCTCCACCTTCCCCACAATAAGGCACAGTCAATAAGACTCTGCAAAATCTGCATTCCCCAAGTGTATTCTCCTATTCTATCTCTAGCCTCCTTTTGACAGATGATGATGTTCTCATGTCCCTTCTCATGAGATGCTGGCCCTCAGCAAACTCTGCAGGGAGGAAACAGCTGGAGTTTCTTTGGAACTAAAATGTGGCTATGGGTCCTGGTGACCAGGAAACAGGAAAGATCTCATTTACCAATTCACACAAGAAAGTTACACACAACATTTCTTCCAAAGCTATTTATTACTAGATTCTCACCATTTTAAAAAATGGATCTTTTTTTTTCATGCTGTATTAGTTTTAAATAAGTACAAAGACTCTTCTAAGCATGTCACCAGACATCATTTCAGCCACTGCTCTGTTTGGTTGCCAGTCTCACATCTCTCTCTTCAGCAATGGTGAGGCGGATGCCCTTTCCACGGGGAAGGGAAATCCACGGTTTGTTGCCTTTGCCAATGACGAAAATGTTGGAGAGCCGGGTGGCGAAGCTGTTGCCGTTGGCATCTTTCACATGAACCACCTCGAAAGAGCCAGGGTATCTCTCTCTGTTGGTGATCACACCAATTCTTCCCAGGTTAGCACCTCCGGTCACCATACACACGTTCCCAGCGTCGAACTTGATGAAATCAGTAATCTTGCCAGTCTCCAAGTCGATCCGAATGGTGTCGTTCACCTTGATGAGAGGATCAGGGTAGCGGATGGTGCGAGCATCATGGGTCACCAGATGAGGGATTCCTTTCGGGCCCACAAAGGTCTTTCTCACTTTGCACAACTTGTACTTGGCCTCTTCAGGCGTAATACGATGAACAGCGAAGCGACCCTTGGTGTCATAGATCAGACGGAAATTCTCTCCAGTCTTGTCAATGCTGATGACGTCCATAAAACCAGCAGGGTAGGTTACATCAGTGCGCACCTTGCCATCAATCTTGACGAACCGCCGCATGCAGATCTTCTTTACTTCATCTCCCGTCAGGGCATACTTAAGTCTGTTTCTCAGGAAAATGACGACGGGGAGACATTCTCTCAGCTTGTGGGGACCGGTAGAGGACCGAGGAGCAAACACTCCGGTCAGTTTATCCAGCATCCAATGCTTCGGAGCCCCTAAACGTTTCAGATGCTTCTTGGGACCACGAGCCATGGCTGCGATGTAACGAAGACGGCCGTCTTCTTCCGGTGCGCCGGGAAAAGAGGGTCGCAGGCTGCGTGATCCAGAGCCTCGGGCGTTCCGCCCTGCTCCCGGAAAGGCGGATCTTAGGATAACTTACACGAATCAACACAGTGTGGTGCTAGTGTAAGCACAGACGTAGAGATCAATTGTATGGTGTGCAAATTATATTTCAATAAAGCTGTTACCAAAGAAATATTTACAAGATGGCAAGAAGTATAGAGAAAGTATAGAGCATCTGGATGGATCAAAAAACACTCGGAAGTTGAATTTTAGGGGAACCAGTTGTGGCAGCCCGTCTCCAAGGTGATGCTAGGGATCCCTGAACCCCTGGCATTCATGCCTTTGTGTGATCCCCTCCCACACTGAACAGGGTTGACCTGTGTGATCAATACTGCAATATTAAGTAAATGACAGTATGTGACTTCTGAGGCTAGGTTATAAAAAGACATTGTGGATTCTACTCTGTTTAGTCTGGGGAAAGCCAACCAACATGGTGTAAGGATATTCAAGCAACCTGAGGGGAAGCCACGTGGGAAGGAACTGAGGCCTCTTGTCAATAGGCAGCAAGAAACTGACAGGCATGTGAGTGAGCCACCTTGGAAGCAGATTCTCCAGCCCCAACCAAGTGTTCAGATGGCTGCAGCCCTGGCTGACTTGACTGCTACCTCCTGAGCCCCTAAACCAGAACCACCAAGCTAAACTGCTCCTAAATCCTCAGCCACAGACAGTGTGAGTTTAAAAATGTTATTAGTATTTTAAGCTGTTAAAATTTGGGACAATCTTTTATGCAATAATGGATAATACACTGGTCATTCACAAATTGACCAAGAGCCAGGTTAGGAAAAGAACCTGAAACAGAAAGCTGAACGCATGTCCTAATCTATGGCTCATTTGGGGAAAATGGAATAATAAATTACTCATGCAGGACATTGTACTGATGCCTTACATGAGTGGTTCCTAACCCTATCAAAACCAATGTCTCCTTTGATTACAAATTTTTTGTAAAGTTTGTTTTCTGTTCTGACATGAAAATCATAGGTAATAAATCCTACTCACATAATTGAAAAGTAGGAAAGTAATACCTTATTTAACATAACTAAAGTAAAGTAACATAATGAAATATATGTTTCAACATGTAAGTGGACATGACTACACTACAACACATAAGATTATCAGGCACTGGTACTTAAGAAAATCACCATGAATGCGACCATAAAGATGCAGATTGATTCAAGAGTGCAGCATTGGCAGCTCAGTGATCATGAGCAACGTTTGCTTCAGTGACTTGATTTTCCAAAATGTTGACCAGCTTCTGGTAGAGTTCGGGGTAAAACAAACCCACCTTGATTTAAAGGCTATTTTGTTAATAGAAAGATCAGTGTAAATCACAAGCATGCAAAAATCCCTGGTGGTGACATATAAAACAAATACCAAAAAGATGAACGACTCCAATTCATGGAAGGGAGTGAAATACCTCAATGTTAAAAATCCATGAGTTCATAACAATATTAAAACAAAACCCAAAAAGCTTCATCAGCCATCTGTGGAGGGTGCTAGGGCACCAGTGCATTACTTTCAAAACTAGTAAGCGAGTGAGAAAGAATCAAGCACTTATCCTGCCTCCTGTAAAAATTGTGTTTTAGAATAACCAAAGAATTGATGATGAAGGAAAAGTCTTATCTATAGAAAAATTCTAATTAATAAATGCAGAAGGGATAATAGAATTGGTATACCAAAATTTGTGACACCTGATGAAATAATGGATCTAGCCACAATCATCAATGGCTACCAAAAACTTTAGATGAAAGGCTGATGGTGAACTTGATAATGGAGATATCAGACTAGCAACACCTGAACCCATTGATCACTCTCCTTCACGTCACAGAGTAGAGATATGAGCCATTATATGGTCCCTACCTTGATGTAGTGGGAAGGATGCAGCCCACCAGAAAGCTTTCTTGCCCTGCCCCCACCTCCAAAATAACTAAATCTGCTCAAGCTTCCAGATCTAACTACTTGTCTACAGAAAACACAGGAGACAGAGGAATGTCTTAAACAGTTAAGTGCAATAAGCCCAATTCAGAAAATGGAGAGTTTTCCAGGACAATTGACCTTGTTTCTTCAATGAATAAATAACAAGGAAATAAAAGGAAGGGAACTTAGGAGACATAACCACCAAGTAGGTGGACTTTGTTTGGATCCTAAGCCGAACAAACTGAATAGTTTCAAAACCAAAAAACTTTGATTAGACAATTAGATAATTTGAACACTGACTGATTGTTCAGTGACATTGGAGAATTAGTGATTTGGGGGCATGTGATGATGGTATTGTCATTATTAGAAAATAAAAAAGGAGTCCTTAAGAGTTTATCGAGAGGCTGGCCCAGTGGCGTAGTGGTTGAGTTCACGTGCTCTGCTTTGGCGGCCCAGAGTTTGCAGGTTCGGATCCTGAGCACCGCTTGTGAAGCCACACTGTGGCAGCATCCTACATAAAACAGAGGAAGATTAGCACAGATGTTACCTCAACAACAATCTTCCTCAAACAAAACGAGGAAGATTGGCAACAGATGGTAGCTCAGGGCCAATCTTCCTCACACACAAAAAAGAAGACTTTATTGGGGGCTGGCCCTATGGCCGAGTGGTTAAGTTCACGCACTCTGCTTCAGCGGCCCCAGGTGTCACTGGTTCGGATCCTGTGTGCAGACATGGCACCGCTCATCAGGCCATGCTGAGGCGGCATCCCACATGCCACAACTAGAAGGACCTACAACCAGAATATACAACTATGTGCTGGGGGGGGTTTTGGGAAGAAGAAGAAGGGAAAAAAAAAAGAAAAGATTAGCAACAGATGTGAGCTTAGGTGCCAATCTTTAAAAAAAAGAAGAATTTACAGAATGGAGTGAAGATAATCTAGCATCACTTGAAAATAAGCCTGTGCAGAGTGGAAGGTATAGACAATATAAAACTGACTATATGTTTATAATTGTTGAATCTGGGTGATAGTTGCGTGGTAATATACTGTGCTATTCTCTCTACTTTTGTGAATGTTAGAAAATTTTCATAATAAAAAGTTTAAAAAGGAAGGTTTAGGCTCAAGACTCAGAAAGTCCACAGGTTTTTTTTACCCACCAATATTGTCTTGCCAACATTCAAAATTTATATGGTTCTCAGAATAATTCTTCATTCTACAGGACTGTCCCATGCATTACTAGGCTTCTAGCATTCATAGCCCTGCTGGCTAAATGCCATTCGCACCATCCCGAATATTGTGCCCACCAATCTCACCACCACCACCACTACCATATACATATACATTATGTATTTCAAAATGCCCCCTGGGGGTCGTAATAACTCTGTTGAGAACCACTATTTCACATGGATAATCACTGAATCCTCAAAAACATCCAAATAAACCCTTGCTGTTCCACTTGTGGTCCACAGACCAGCAGTAGGTGCATAATGTGAGAGCTTGTTAGAACCTCAGGTCCCACACCAGACCTAGTGAATCAGAACCTACATTTAACAAGATCCCCCAGCGGATCTGTATGCACAGCAGTCTCAGAAGCAGTTTTACCAAGTAGACATGATTCTCCCCATTTTACAGTTGAGGAAAAGGAGATACAGGTAAGAAACTTGTCCAGGCAGTTTGACTCCAGAGCCCTTGTCATAACTATTTCCATTAGAACACAGGAATAAACTAGAAAGCAGGAAGGTGTGGAGACTTTACGTCTAATAGGGAGCCCCTAATTTCAGAGTTAAATGGTGTTGAACCAAACGGTGTAGGCAGAGAACAGCCACGTGGAGATGAAGAATGGAAGAGAAAGGCCTAGACTGAGAGGGACGCTGGAGGCCTGCCTCTCCACCTGCTCAGCTGAGAGAGAGGATGCAAAGTGACAAAGTTCATAAACGCTGAGCATCATTAAGTTTATCCATGCCCAGGAGGCAGAAAACCAGGAACCGCAGAGGCTGTGTTCTGAGGCCAACTGAGGTGGAGGTGGGACTGCGTCTCCTCAAACACTAGGAAAACTTCACAGGGTCGGGTCTGGTGCCCTTTCCCCTGGGGCCTTCTACACGCATCTCTTACTAGTCCCAGTGAGAAGGAACCTCAGGGTTCCAATGGTCTTGGGATAGAGATATGGTGTAATGGGGATACAGACCTCAAATCTTCTTTTTTGAAAGACTTACTTTAAAACTCTGGCCCCAAGTACCAATCCCCAAAAGGGAGCAGTGATCCTTGGAAAAATAGCTGATTTAGATCTGGGTAGGAAAAGTACAAGATGAGTCCAAAACATTACACCAGAAAGCGATAATGTGCTCAAAGACTCATGGTGATATGTCAAAAGGACGTAAGAGTCAACTGACTAAATTTGGGACAATTGGAGCTTCAGGAAAAGCAATGGTAATGATTAGAAAACATCAACTATGGCCAACTACGGCAACTATGCAGAGGTTAAGTCCACACATTCCACTTCGGCGGCTTGGGGTTTGCTGGTTTGGATCCCGGGTGCAGACATAGCTAGGCAAAAGCCATGCTGTGGTAGGCGTCCCACATATAGAGTAGAGGAAGACGGGCATGGATGTTAGCTCAGGGCCAGTCTTCCTCAGCAAGAAAAAGAGAAGGATTGGCAGCAGATGTTAGCTCAGGGCGAATCTTCCTCAAAAAAAAAAAAAAAAGAAAACTAAAAAAGGAATCTATGATTTTGTGGTGGCATTTTATTAAAAGGATAAAAGGTAGTGGTGGTGGGGATTGGGGAGAGTGTTCCTCATTACAGGATGCCAGCTAAGAAATAAAGGAGTACTGGAATTAGAAAATTACCATTTTGCAACAACCAATTTAATAATTGACAGGCAAAAGTCGATTCATGTGAAACTCATTGAATGAAAGTTTCTGGGAAACAATATTCACATAATCTCAAAGTCTCACCTCCCAGATCACTAATTACAAAGAGGTAGGCATCACCTTAATCCCGTGAGCAAACACATCACCACCAGTAATGAGACAACTGTCATCAAATATTCCGTGATGCAATGTAATGGGAGTGGTCATCACCTGTGTGGTGTTCTTGCCTACGTTTAAGCTGAATATAATCTTGTGGAACATAATCCAACAAATCCAGACTGTGGGACATTCATGAGGAAAAGGTTCAGGGAAGATAAATGACTTGCCTAGGGTCACCACTTCTATTGTGGACACAGGCAGTCTGGTTCAAGGACTCCAGCTCTTAGTCACTATTTTAATCTGAACACAGGGGTAGAAACATCAAGGTATCCTGTGACCTTGATGCTTCAAAAATGTCAGTGTCATGAAAGACAACCAATAAATGCAGGACTTTCCAAATTAAAAGAGCATTAAATGAAATGACTGAGTCTTAATTGGATCCCGGATTTTTAAAAAATCTCTAAAGGACATTAGGGTGTATTAGATAACATTACATTGATAATATGGGTGTGATGCTCTTGTGGTTATGTAGAAGAATGTCCTTTAGGATAATACATACTGAAGTATTTAGGGATGAAGTATATGGTGCATCTATCTTTAAAAGAGAAAGCGGATGCAGCAAAATGTTAAGTGGCAACTCTAGGTGGAGGAGATATGGGTGTTTCTTGTCCTTTTTCAATTTTTGTGTAAGTTCAAAATTTAAATTTGGAGGAAAAAAACTAGATAGGAACACTCTAAGATAATTTGCAAAGGAAGGGACCGTGATGCAGGTGTCTGACCATGTAGAGTAGAAAGCTCTTGCTGGTCCCCAAATGGAGGGAAAAAAGTCTAAGGAAGGTACATGGATGCATAGGCAATCTCCTTTGAATTCTCCCAAGTAATATGAATTTCTCCTTTACCGTTAATGTGACCAGAGAAGACTAAAAACTAAGCCTGAGGAAAATGGCATAGCGACATAAAATACATCATTTTGTGCTCCAGAATTCCAGGTAACTGCTAGAATTTGAGGTACTAGATACCTCTGAATGCAGGGGTACAGCACGGTGGGGGATGAAACCAGGATCAGGAATAACAGCCAGACCCCACCCTTAGTCCCCCAGCTCACAGCATACACTATACCCTGGCAGGTTTACTATCTGCACTTACCTGACAAGGGCTAGGCACTGAATTGAAAAGACAGATACTGTTATTATCCGTCTTTTGCAGATGAGAAAACTGAAGTACTGAGAAGTTGAGTGATTTGCCCACGGTCATACAACTAGTAAGCAGTGGAGCTCAGGTTGGAAGCCACGCAAAGTTTTTCAGGGGTCCACATTCTTAACCACTACCAAATACTGCCCTCTAATAAAACACCAAATGTGATTTTTAGATGAGAAAAGGGTGAAGAGCACTCAGCAAAAAAGTATCAAAGCATCAAAAAAAAAATTATGTGAAATAGCGGACCATGAAGGACTCCTAGCTATAAAGAAATCAAACTCAGGAACCAAGGTGGGGGACTCCAAGAGCACAGGAGGAAAGGAACCGTGAGCTTGCAAAGCTCACACTGTCAGCGAGCACGACAAACGTGGGAGGCACAAGGGAGAAACCATGGAAAACTCAGTAAATGGAAGATGGAAAGTAGAACAAAGTTAAGTAGAAGTAATTATTTTAAAAGGATTAGAGAAAAATATAAAGACAAGCAAAGGCAATCCAAAATACACTAATTGGACTCCCCACAAAAAACAAAAATAAAGGAACAATTCTGAAGATACTATTCAAGTAAAATTACTGAAAGAAACTGAAAGAACACACCATGTTTGAAGAGGAAACGACCCAGAAAGGGCAAAACAGAGTAATTCTAGCGAACTTAATGGTCTTCAAATATAAAGATCCTTTTGAGCAATAAGGCAAAAAACAGACACCGGAGGGAGCCGGGGAGCAGGCCACGGGTCTCATTAACGTTCAACATTTACAACATTAGAACAATATTTACAATATCCTTGAGGAAAAGAAGTGAGACTAGCAGTCTTCCAAGAAATAAAGCACAGTTTTGGACACGAAAGACCTCAAGGCATCCCAAGTCCTTTCTGAAGAAAGCCCTAGAGAACAAGCAAATCAAGTGAGAGGTAACTAGGTCAACTCCAGCAAGAGACGGCAAGGAGCATGAAATATATTTAACTGTAGGAAAAAGACTTTAAAAGGCATGCAGGTAAGCGTAACCATTACACTCACACTTCAGTTTAGCTCTACAAAGCTGACACCAAGATAATTTAAGTGACACAAATTAAGAGGTAGAGGAGACTGAAGGGTGAGGGAAAAATCATTGTTCACCTTAGGAAAATAAGTGCTAAAAGTAAAGGCACGAAGGGATTTAAGTTATAAAGGTAACCACCAGAAGAAAATGTGAATCTTCCTAAATTCCTGAGGAACTAGACACATACACACAAACACAGCAGACGTGATGAAATCCAATAAATCACCCATTAAAAGAAATTTTCAGACGGTATTACACAAAACTCAATAATCTTTGCTTTATAAGAGTCACACAAAGAGTGATTCAGAAAGGCTGAAAATATAAATAGGCAAAGGTATACAGTTTCTTTAATTTGATCCTTCTGTCATCGTCTAAGAGAATGTTCTTATTTTAAGATACAAACTGAAGTATTTGGGGATGAAAAGTTATATCTGACATTTACTCTCAAATCATTCTGAATACCAATAGGTTGTTATTCCTTATCTACCTTAGCAGCGTGGCATTTATTTCTTCACCCAGGTCTCCAGTTGCTTCCCTTAGGTACTCAATTCTTTTTTAACTGAACACAACACTTTAACCACATGATAGTTGCAGGGCAGAAGACAATTTTATATATCCTTTGTATCCCACAAAGAAATTCAGGCCTGTGTATGTGATAAGTCATGAAAGAAAGAAAACAGCTGAAGTAAAACACCACTGGATGGCATCTTTCCTTGGTATTTTATGTCACTATCATATTCTTTCAATTCCCTCCAATCAACTACTTCCTAATTAAGCAACCTCCCTCCATTTTTGACATCTCTTCCAGGAAGCTGATATGTGTAAATGTCTGTGCCCTTATTTTCTAACCTTACCCAAATGTAAAGTTTCTTCCCCGTAGGACAATATTCCAATATATTAGAGAGCTAGATACTTACATCCTAGGGATGTGATGAGGATAAGAATTACTGTTCACTGATACACAGCTAGCAAAAACGAGTACAAAATAAAGAATGAGAAAAAAGAACACGAATTTTTAAAAGGTACTCAAATATATCAATTTTATTAAGATCCTCTATACACACATTATTTGCTACTGAAAATTGAAATAGCACAAAAAATTATCACAATTCAAATTTTTGAAAACTAGAAAATCTAATTAATGCACCCTGCTCTAATCATGCTCTAGCCAAATCACCCAATGTTTTCTTTACATTCTTTCTACACAAGTTATTTTGCTTCAAATTCTTCATGTTGGGTTTCATCTGACTGACCACAGGCTGCTAAAACACGCACAATACTTGAGACATATTAGTGCTTCTCTAGGTGAAATCAAGAACTTAAAGTATATTGAAGTCATTCAGATGCAAACTACATAGATTCCTTATAAATTACTGGTATAAAGGTAGAAAAGAGATGCAAGAAAAGACGACATCACAGAATTTCTATCACAGGTCATCAAAATACTGGTCTACAGTCCATCCGAGCGTAATCATCCTAAAATTACTAGCAAGAATTAAGGTTTATGGCTCAGTCGACTCTGTGTCATAGTTGTTCTCCGTATTCTCAGAAACATCTCTATGATACAGGCAATAATGACAGCTACATCTAAATCTTTGAATTCTTGATTCAACCTGAAAAAAACAATGAAATGGATCATTTGAGTTAGTAGTTAAAAATAATGAAATGGAGTAGCTGTACCTGAAAGAGATGTCACAGCTCTTAAATCTAATGTTGGTTATTGGAATAGCCTTTGGAATATGGAACACTAAAAAAAGGTCAACAAAACAACTATTTTGGGGGGGAAAAGAGGCAGGATTGAAATGTGTGGGTACCAAAGAATGCCAGATTATGGGTCATTTTGTAATGGTAACAGTGGCTGATTGTCAATCAATAAAAACATACTCTATGTCAGTTCTCTGAATGCCTTAAATGTGAATAACTCATTCTGCTGCTGGACACTCTACTCAGGTGTCTGCCCTCTCACTGCACGGTATTGTCATGAGAATCATGTTTGGGGACAGCACATGAAAAAAAGGTACAAACATAACACCCAGAGTGATCCTTAATATAAACTACAGACTTCAGGTGATAATGTGCCAATGTGGGCTTATCAACTGTGTAACAATGTATCACCCTGGTGGGGATGTTGATAGTGGGGGAGGCTGTTGAGCTGTGGGGTCAGGGGGACATGGAAACTGTACTTTCTGCTCAATTTTGCTGAGAACTTAAAACTACTCTAAAAAAAATAGACTTAAAAAAAAAACAGTACAAACAGAACTGATTTTCCGAGAGTTCCCGGACACTCCGAAACTCTAAACCCATTCCCTTTTCCTCCTCTGCAAAAACAAAAAAAAGGAAACCAGATACCCACCCACATGTGTAGTAAGAAAATTTCTATTTACCTCAATTTCCTTCTGTCGTGATTCTCTTTGAAGCTTCATGGGAAAAAAAAAAACATTTATTGAAAACTATCAAGAAAAAGTTGGATTACTAATGTTATACAACGACCATAAGAGACAGAGGTTCGGACAATTTTAAAAATGTTAAATGTTATTGACATCCTGCCCTCCTGAATACAGTTGATGAGTGACTACTGCTCATCACTACTTACATCTTAACTTATAGGAGTTGCGCCCTCCCCCACCTAGAGTTGGGCAGTGCTGTCTGCCCAGATCACAAACTCACCACAGGAAGTTGGCCGGAGTAGCGGTATTTAATAATTTGTATCATCCTTTGCATCCTTTCTTTCCGAACAGTTAGCAGTGTCCTTACTCCCCTTCTCCGGTAGGGTATGTCATCACTTAACCCTTGGAATTTCTTTTCTCTGTCAGGCTGTTGGGATGGATGTTCTGGTAGAAGGGGAGGGAATTTGGTACTAGGGTTGAGAGTCAAGTTACTAAGGTTCTTTATTAGTGCTTCTGAAACAGGCGGCGAGGCAGCTGAAAGAAAAGAGTTCAGATCCATTAGGGTGAATCGCATCATCCAGAGGTCACTCACTTCCTGGCTCAAACGAAGTGCTCTGTTAAGCAGGTGAACAATGGACAATGGGAGGTTCCTAAGGGTGGAAGATCACGTATACCACGTGCATTACCTACTGTGCTTGTTTAGTGCGCTGCACACCTTAAGAGCATATACTGAGAACGTATCATTAAGAATCCGCTATGGAGCCAGCCCTGGTGGTCTAGTGGTTAAAATTCCGGGCAGCAGCCTGGGTTTGTTTCCAGGTCAGGGAACCACACCTCCTGTCTGTCAGTTGTTACACTGCAGCGGCAGCTCACACAGAGAACTAAAAACTAAAAAACTAACTAGGATACACAACCATGCACTGAAGCTTTAAATTAAAAAAAAGAAATCCACTATGATGGGAAACGTTTCATTTTTTAAAAACGCTTCTTCTCTTCTTCCTCCTATTGGTAGTTCTGAATGTTAGATATTTTTTTCCATGGGGTCAAAAGGTACCTAAGTCTATGATTCCAAGTGGAAAAATATGGGACAGAAATCAGGTATTGGCAGTTTTTCCGTTTTCATTTGTGTGAATTTTTAACATAGACGCGGGGACGTAAAGCGTTAATGCAAATTAAAATGTTTCTGTGAAAAAGTTTCAGTTCAACTTTACAAACAATTATAAATAAACCTGTTAAACTTTACTGGAAAAAACCCCACGCCTATGAAATAGACGAAGAAACCTCAAATACAACACTCTCTCCGGAAATGCCCATTCTTAAGCAGAACTAGGAAGTCAAAGTAACTGTTTTCCTCAGCTTTTTCAGGGTATTTGATCTTTCCACTCAAACCCAGTATTTTGGGAAGTCACTCACTCTAGCCAGAACCATTCTGCATACCCCATACACACTCACATTCCATACAATAAGACAGTTAACATTAATTTTCCCTGTATGCGAAAGGATTACTATGAGTCAGGAGCCATTCAACTTCTAGGGACTTGCGCACGTGGAAATAAAGATCTCTGGTTGTAGAACTGTCAGGTACTAAGGCAGATTCAAAGAAAAGACGAGACTGGGTATATTACACGGATAGTCTCCTTATTAATTTTTCCCCGTCGCATATATTGACCAGGGTTCTTAGATGGAGGTGAGGCAGTCTGGAACTGGCGGGGGGTAGGGGCGTGGAATAGAGGACGTCAGCGAGCATCCGACCCAGCTTCCTAGCAGCCCAGTGGGTAGTTGGGGTTGCTGGCTCAAGGCCATCCACCACCACTACCCTACACCCCCCAGTTCTGCCTTTAGGGTAACAAGGTTTCAAACTAAGTGAGCGCGTCTCCGTGGCCAAGCCCGGCACTGGGTGCGGCTCCAAGAAGTCTTGAGTTTCCGCCGCAGGAAGAACGCGGGAAAGCGGAGACCTAATTAACAGTATTCTTGGAGCACTGTTTCTAAGAAAGCAACTCTTCAGTGTACGTCCTACTAATTTACATTACAGAGCACATTCTCTGGCTTTTATAAATCCGCGCCTTCCTTCAGTTTCCTCTGCAAAGCCATTTCCCTGTTTATTAACATTCCTAAAGGGTAAATTTAGCTGGAAAGCCAATTCCGAACATGTGGGTGAGTTTAAGAAAACCTTGAGGTTAAATTGAAATTTAGGTTTCTTTTTTTTTTTGGTGTTTTACCTTTCCTGACACGTATCGCTGACGCCGAGATACTGCATCGCACGGCACTGAGCCGCCTTCTAGAATTCCGATTGCTCCTCCCTAGAAACGAGACTTAGAAGCCTACAGCATTCCTGAGCACAGGGAGCAAACAATGCAGTTCTCAAGAGCCCTCTCCCCTTTTTTTCTTTTTCCTATTGTATTTTTTCACTGGAGGAACCTACACTGCCTGGCGGTCCTCTGCTTCCAAGGTTTACTTAACTGCATTCCTCTAGAAAAGGCTGAAGTCAGTAAAGAAAGGAGGGTCAGCTTCTCCACTCCCCGAACTCCTGGTAGTCGAGAAGGCCACCAGCTGGCTTACCTGAGTCTTCCTGGGAATTTTCTTCACTGGGCGTCTGAGAGGACTCCACGGCCCAGGTTGGATTAAGCTTGGATGAGTCCATTGGAAGTTTAGTCACAGCTTGAAGCTCTTCCTAGACCTTTGGGTGCAGCAGAAGGTGATGCTCAAGACTCTCAAACTATTACAAAGTAGCCTGGCAAGAACTGTATAGCCCAGAAAGAGCGAGAAAAACCCAGCTCCAACAAACAGTGGTGAGAGAAAGAACTAACCTAAAAGTTTAGGTCCGGTGTCCTGTTAAAAACTACAGATAAGCCAATCAGCCAGCCTATTTTGATGTAAATGCTAATGATTAAAGGGATAAGGTGAGTGGGCTAGTCCTATTAGTGGACTAATAGGATAATTTTTCATCATGCCCTCTGTCTAGTCGGCTGGAAAATTTATAAAGAGTTTCTGTGGTTGTATCTCCCTAAGGTTGCCTTAAAAATCAGCTTTTTTCAAACTCTACTTCTGGAGGTGGCTACTGGTTTGTGAACTGGGCTTTAGGTGATCCCGTGCAGAGAGAAGGGCAATTCCACCCCACTCTCCCCCACCAATTAAATCCTAATTAGGTTAACTGAGAAAGTTTCCTTGCGTGATTCATCTTAGACCTTTGGAAGCTAGTAAGGGAAAATAGAGGAGAAATAAAGCATCCGTTATAAACAGTTTAATAACTTAATATTTCATGGATGTGTATCTTGGATCTGTAATTTTATAATTGTTTTATAGACTAAATTTAATTGCATTTAACATTTGTGAGCAACTGAAATTAATCAAATTGCTACCCGCCCCCCTCCCCACCCCCCGCCAAAAACCCCTACTTTGAATTCTGGCAAGGAGAACCAACATTAACTGCTGATTTCCTGCAGGATGTGGGAGAACGAGTCCCCAGCTGCCCCCCTCTTTTTCCCATCGCCTCTTCAATGAGCAGCCTCCCCCATTCCCCCTTTAGCAGGAAACTATGAGACAATACTCAGAAGCAATCTGGTTTGTTTGTTGTAAAAAGCAAAAGTTGAAGTCACATCAAGAAATATTTTTGTACGGGATGAGGAGGAGCCATAAGCATATGTCATGTCACAACACTTTATTCAAGTGGTTCTCAAAAGTGTGGCCTCCAGACAAGCAACACCAACAGCACCTGGTAACTTGTCAGACATGATTAGAAATTATCGAGCTCTACCCCAGACCTACTGAATCAAAGACTGGGACCTAGCGATCACCATTTTAACAAGCTTTCCAGGTGCTTCTGATGCATGCTGAAGTTCAAGAAGCAGTGCCTTATGGCACTCTTAACTTTCCCTTCCTGTTGTTCTCTCAGCTGTTCGCACTTTCTGGGCTGCGTCTCCTACAGCAGGCTCTGAGAATTCCATTGGAGAGGTGGGGCAAAAACTGGATAGGAGGAGGTTTAAGATTAAGAGGTGAGATAGCGAAAAAACCCGACCTAGACTCTCCCTCAAGAAACCCAGGGGGCCGACCCCGTGGCCCAGTGGTTAAGTTTGCACACTCTGCTTCCCAGCCCGGGGTTTCACCAGGTCGGATCCTGGGTGCAGACATGGCACGGCTCATCAAGCCACGCTGAGGCAGCATCCCACATGCCACAACTAAAAGGACTCACAACTAAGAATATACACCTATGTACCGGGGGGCTTTAGGGAGAAAAAGGAAAAATAAAAGTCTTAAACAAAAAAAGAAATCTAGGTTTAGGAAGAAGGTAAACTGGGGCTGGCCCAGTGGCGCAGCAGTGAAGTGCACACATTCCACTTTGGTGGCCCGGGGTTAGCGGGTTTGGATGCCGGGTGCAGATGTGGCATGCATGGCTCAGCAAGCCATGCTGTGGCAGGTGTTCCACATTTAAAGTAGAGGAAGATGGGCACAGATGTTAGCTCAGGGCCGGTGTTCCTCAGCAAAAAGAGGAGGATTGCCAGCAAATGTTAGCTCAGGGCTAATTTTCCTCAAAAAAAAGAAGGTAAACCATAGCTAGAAGAAGGTGTGGGATGTGGATGATGGAATTTCAGTTGCTTAAATGCGACAGAAGCTGAGCCAAAAGCAACAGATGGTAAAAATACTGAGAGACAGGGTAGTTGAGAAAACACAACCCCTAAATATGCTTTAAAAGATCAGAATAAAAAATCATAACACCTTCCTAGTTAGCATATTTTTTCTTTAGAGTATGAAAGATGAGATAAAAAGCCAGACAAACTGAATGAAGCAACTTGAAAAAAACAGACTATAAAAGAACACGTCAAGAAAACTATCATGAATTTCTCTAGAGAAAAAAACCATATTTTTGAAACAAACAGGATACTGTTTTTAAACGAGGAAAACTCAGAGAGCAAAAACAGAAAAGAGTAGCTGGAAATTAGAAGTTTGATATTAGAAACAAAAAAAGAAGGAGTGGAAGATAAAATGACAGACATTCCCTTAATAAGTGAGGCAAAAAAACAGATGTAAAATAGGAGAGAAGAGATGAGAGAATGAGAATGTAAGAGCAGAAAACATAATGGCTTCAGACTCAACAACAGTAGGCACTGGAAGATAATGGAGAAATACCTTTCAAATTCTGAGGGAAAATGATTTCCAACCGAGAGACCTATATTCAACCAAACTATTGAGCAAGTGTAGAACATTTAATTTCTCAAAAATGTCACCACCTGCGTAGATGCCTTTGTCTTGTGGGAAATTAACTTGATATAAGAACACTAGCAGGTAAGCTAGTCCAAAGGTCAGGAAACAGAAAGGCTCACAGACCATATTAAAAAGCTCGTATCACTTGGTTTTTAAAGTTGGTTTAAAATGCACAGCAAAAAGCCAGGCAAAAGGAATAGAGTAAGTTAACAGATTTAGAGTGTTAAAAACAAGACAACCAGCCCAAGATGGAATCGCTCATGCTAAGCCCCACTTCCTCAAACTGAGACTTAATGACAGTTTTGGCTCTCCCAGAAATGGACTGCTAAACCAGTCAATCAGAAATCGCCTGATCAGCATTAGTTAGGCAATCTAATGGATCCCTGCCGTTCCCTGAAGGAAAGTAACCTCACAATAAACAATCTGCTTTTTTGCCTAGTACAACTTCCTCGTTCCTGCTCCTTCTGCCTGTAAAACCTCTCTCCTTGTACAGCTCTTCGGAGTTCCTTTCTGTCTGCTAGATCGGATGCTGCCCAATTCATGAATCATTACATAAAGCCAGTAAGATCTTTTAAATGTACTGAGTTGAATCTTGTTTACGAAGAACAGGATACCAGTTAGGCAGAAGGATCTTACTTCCCAAGTTAAGGGATGTGTGGTTGATGGGGGCCTAAAATACGGCACCTTGGCATATTGAATATTGTAAGCTGAAGGAGTTTGAGAAAACAGCAGAAGTAGGAAGTTCTCTGACCTTCCTCCCCACCCTTCTCCCCTGAAGCAGGTCTTAATACCCTCATACGAGGGTATGGTGCCCTGCCCATACCTGGAGGAAAGGAGCATCCTTATCTCTAAGTCAGAGGGACACTGAGAAGAATCGGATGAACAGGATTTGCTAAGTTTCTCCCAGTCTACTACAATCACCTTACACTCTTTGTCCTATCATCTCTTTCCATGACTTTCCATTCTTCATCAAACCTAACATAAACATACTCAGGTTTAACCATTTCTTCAGGTCTTCATTTCCTTATGAAGGCTTCTGTGTCATGGAAAACTTACAGTCAATAAATTTGTATGCTTTTCTCCTGCTAATCTATCTTTGTCAGTTTAATTCTCAGACCCAGCCAGAGACCTTAACAGGGTCAAAGAAAATGTTTTCCTTCCCTACACAGTGTTCATAAGTCCTGTCTCTCCACTGCTCCATCCTTCCCCGTTGATGGGGTGGTTATGAGGACCGGAGTTGAGGTTTGAGGTGGGGGCCTGCAGACAGAAAGTGCCAGGTACCAATGATATACTGATGCTACCAGTGAAACAGGCCTGACCATAGCTGGAGCTTGCCAATTAGCCTGGTGAGCAACTGTGAATATAATTTGCATTTCTAGGGCAGAGCATATATGGACCCACAATGGGATAATAGTGAGTGCCACTACTGGGTGACTGATTTAGGGGTGACATAGCTGTGACACAGTGATAGGATCATGACTTATTCTTTCCATCCTTTTCTTTCTGTAAGTAGTAACTGTTTTCTCTATCTTACAGGTTACTATTTTACTTACTGTATATTTAAACACATCTTATAAATTCTGCCTGGCTTACTTGCTGCTCATTTACTCAATATCAACACTTACTATGAGTTTCACCTCTGTCTCATAAGCTACTACTTTACTGTCTATGCTTAACACTGCTTGAGTTTCATCCATCCCAGTTCTTTTTTCCCTCTATTGCAGAATTGAATATTTTCAAAAAACACTGCAAATGCACATTATACCCTTTATCAGGAATGTTGATCTAGGGGCTGGCCTGGTGGCATGGTGGTTAAGTTCATACACTCTACTTTAGAGGCCCAGGGTTTGTTGGTTCAGATTCCAGGCACAGACCTACACACTGCTCATCAAGCCATGCTGTGGCAGCATCCTACATACAAAATAGAGGAAGATTGGCACAGATGTTAGCTCAGTGACAGTTCTCAGATTCATACAGATATGGTGCACCTTGTGCAGACCATTTATGTTTTGTATTTTTGAAAGTTCAAAAAATGAATCATTGGGGCTACCCCCATGGCCTAGGGGTTAAGTTCAGTGCACTCCACTTTGGTGGCCTGGGTTTGGTTCCTGGGCATGGACCTACACCACTCGTTGGCAGCCATGCTGTGGTGGCAACCCACATACAAAATAGAAGGAGATTGGCATGGATGTTAGCTCAGGGTGAATCTTCCTCAGCCAAAAAAAAAAGAATTATCTTCTCTTAGTAAGATTAATAACTAGGATTACAAATAGAGCTAGGGAAGGGGGCTTACTAGGAAGAAAGAAAAGAAGTCAAGAGAGAGCAGCTGGGA